GAAGGGGGAGGTAAAAGTCTGCTTTCATTAAGCAAAAATAAACATATAGCTGTAAATTATAGACGCCACTAAATAAACTGGGGTCACCCAGRTACACAGTAAACTTGAATGTGATAAATCGCCTCTAATTACCTGCAGGTTTATCGACAGCATGGGCATTTACATAATCTTCTCCAGTTTTTATCCCCTGATGAGCACCAACCTGTGCAGCTTCCAGATGATTATAAATCATCTCTCCCTGTATGGCAGGCCATGTTAACATAAAAATCGACTTAACTCTTAGAATTGTTTTATGAGACATATCAGTTATTGAAGATTTGTATGGAGGCTATTTTTTAATGAATTTGGTTTTCAACATATGTTGAAAGAATATTGAATTTCATTCTGACAAGTTATTATTCCAATTAACTTAAATGGCATCATTATTCAATATACACTGCCTGCCAAAAAAAAAAAAAAAAAGGCGCCACCTGGATTTAAGCAAATAGTCACGAGCCTGCTGCAGTTGTTCAGGTAGGTTCAGCAACTATAATGAGGTCAGCTGACTACCTGAATGAGCAGGTTATTCCATCAATGGATTTTTTTCTTCCCTGATGGCACGAGCATATTCCAAGATAACAATGTCAGGATTCACTGGGCTCAAATTGTGACAGGGTGGTCCAGGGAGCATGAGACATCATTTCCACACACGGGTCGGCTCCACAGAGTCCACTGAGAATCTTTGGGATGTGCTGGCGAAGGCTTTGTGCAGCGGTCAGACTCCACCATCATCACTGGAAGATTTTGGTGATAAATTAACGCAACAGGAGAATAAATCTTGTGACATTACAGAAGCTTATAGAAACAATGCCACAGTGAATGTGCGCTGTAAAGCTAAAGGGGGTCCAACGAAATATTGTGACCTTTATTTACTTATTTATTTATTTTTTTGGTGGCAATTTATTTTGTGGCCAGGCAGTGTATCTTAAATGAATTTTTAAATACACATGTAAAAATCTGTCTACAGTGCAAAATTAATTGCCAAAACTAAATTATTGAAATCTAGAGCTGTATTAATCAAAATTCATTTCAAAATGTCTCTAAATTAATTCTTGAATATTTCTTCATATAGACGGCTTTTAAGAGATCTTGAATATTAATTTTGTCTTCAGTCAGAACGTCCCAGATTTATGCAACATTTTGGCAGAATGTTTCTAAAGCATTTTAGCCCCATTACTAAACCACTACCTTAATTTGCTGCTCAGTGGTCTGCAATGCCAGTTTRGTCCAACTCAAATTTTTGTGTGTTTTTTTTAAACAGTTTTTATCTCTGCAGCTCAACATTGATTAAGAAACACAGGGACTTTATTGTCTCTCATTGCAGCAACTCAAAATTCTGCAGGCAGCTGTTTGGACATATGCAATTATATTTCAGATATCTAAAAATGTAATTTTGACTATAAGCATCATGTTTCAGGTATGTTGAATTGTGGATGTTTGACCATTCAAACGACGAATCCATGTTATTTAAGACATCTTGAAATACATTTAAACTAGAAATCTTGAATTGTTCTTCTGACTCGTTATCTTAAATTATCATTCAGAATAGTCAAAATGTTCTTATACAGTTGTCAAAACTTGTTTTAGAAATCCAAAATGTACAGAAAGTCAGATGAAGCCGATTTTATATGTAAAAAGGGCCTGCCTTACTCTGTGTCCGCCTGAAAGTCCCAATTTATTTATTCTTAGAATTAAAATCAGCCACTGTGTGCGTCATCTTTATTCTAACAAAACCTAAAATTAAACATTGAAATAATAACAACAAAATACACAAATTAACATCCATCAAAATATTTTCAATTTTCAACAACTTTGAGGAATTTGGACAAAAAATGTCATAAATATCGGTTTAGACTGAGAATGTGTTAGTTATACAAGTGCAAATTTTATGGCAGTTAAATCTAAATTGTAATTTATTGTAATCCAGATTTAAAAAAGGATTAAGCATCATTTTTTTTAATCATCGCAATTTATTTTTGAACAGCTCGCCTGGCTTTTAAATTCAAAATAAAGTGCAAGAAATCAAAATCTATCATTCTGCAGAAGAAAAAAAAAACATCGAGCAGTTCCTGGTAACAGTGACACAAAGACCACGTGACCAGCGTGCTCCTATAAATATCTTTTGAGGACTAAGGAGCAGTAGTGAGAGTCTAGCTGGATGCCTTGCTAATCCCGCGCGTAAAAGCAGTTTTTTTGGAACGCCGTTTGGATACCCAGCAGCAGCTCATTTATGGTGATCAAAACCATCAGATTTGAAGTTATTACCAACTCGTTTGGGTGCAAGGCTGAAACTTCACCTTGGACTGACTTTTTGCGGGTCAAACAGAAGTTTGCTGTCTTTGAGGACCTCTCTCGGTCGCACATGACCAGCACCAGATGCCAAGGAGTCGCCCGATTCACAGGTCAAAGAGATTTCTGTCCCTTTTTGTTTTTGCTAGATTTTAACCATGTGTGCTTTTATTAGTCGGAGGTAAAGCGGCTGGAAAACACCGGTGCGCTTGGAAGGGAAAGAAGGAGGGTGCGCGCGCGCGCTCTGAACCAAACCGGAGAGGAAATCTTGGAGAGAGGGTGGAGGGGAGGGGGAGTGAAGGATGACTTTAGGAACGGATATGTCCGACAGCTCTGCTTTGTCCGAAGATGTGGACATTGATGTGGTCGGCGGGGAGGTTTCTGTGGGGAAGGACGGGAAGTACATCCACGAGTTCCACTTGGACAACGACTCGGACGATAATTACTCGCAGAACGCCGCCGAGAGGGTTTCCTCTCCGGGACTCAGCAGCTCGGACTGCCCGTCGGARCAGCTCGGGTCCGGCGCAGAGCCCGGCACGGTGATCGGGGACAAACCCCGGAAAAGCGCGCTGGTCAAGCCGCCGTACTCCTACATCGCTCTGATCACCATGGCCATCCTGCAGAGCCCCAAGAAGCGCCTGACGCTCAGCGAGATCTGCGAGTTCATCAGCAACAGATTCCCTTATTACCGGGAGAAGTTCCCCGCGTGGCAGAACTCCATCCGCCACAACCTGTCCCTCAACGACTGCTTTGTGAAAATCCCCCGGGAGCCCGGCAACCCGGGGAAGGGCAACTACTGGACCCTGGACCCGGACTCCGCGGACATGTTCGACAACGGGAGCTTCTTGCGCAGGAGGAAGCGCTTCAAGAGGCACCAAAGCAACGAGATCCTCCGGGACTCCGGCGGCTTCCTGCACGGCTTCGGATACGGCCCGTACGGATACAACTACGGACTCCAGTTGCAGAACTTCCACGCGGCGCACGGCCCTTTCCACGCGCACCACACGGGCGGCTCCTTCCCGTTCCCGAACGCGCCGTGCACCTTGCCCTCCTCCGCCTCCCTATTCCCTGCGCCGCACCACCTGCCCTCCCTTTTGGGGAGCGACTTGCGGAAGCCCTTTTACCCGCAGCTGAGCCCGACTCTCCCGGCCGTCAAGACGGACTCGGCCGCTCAGAACCGGCCCTCGTTCTCCATCGACAACATCATCGGCGCGGCCAACTCCAGCGGCTCGTCGTACGGCGCGCAGCCGGCCAGCCAGGCTCAGATCCTGGCCATGCTGACCCCGGCCCTGGCCTCCGCCTCCACGCACTTGAACTTACCGCAGGAGGGCATGTTTCAGGCGGCGCAGACTCAGACTTTCCCCTCCAAAACCTCCAACATGAACACTTGTCCTTACTAAAAAAAAAAGATAGAAAAAAAAGATAAATAATTATAATAATAATAATAATAATAATAAAAGTTTATAACATTTATTCAAATAAAGAAATAAACAATTTTAGGTCACAAGTTAAAAACCTGTAATGAGATGAACACATTTGAACTCAGTTCAGATATTGTGGTCRGTTTGAGGTTTGTTTCTTGAAAAGTTTGTTGCAACAGTTTGCAACTTCAGTGACATGTTTTTCTTTCTTTCTATCTTTTTATTTGTTTTTTACTTCCAAGACTTCACTTATCCCTCTGGTTAAGTGATCAGGTTTTAATAAAATGAAAATAATAATAAAAAACTTAAACAGGACTTTTATAATTAGTCCAACAATTTACATTTAGTTTAGCATATGTTGTCAATATATGAATAACCAGTAAACCATAGTTTATTAACATATATAGTAGTACCACCACCACTACTACTACTACTACTACTACTACTACTACTACTACTACTACTACTAATAATAATAATAATAATAATAATAATAATAATAATAATGAACTGGTGACTGAGCGTGAGTAAAAGATGATGTTTACTTTAGTTCTGAAGAATCTGAAGGAATTGCTGAGAGATGATTACATCTTCCGACCACTAGAGGGCACCAGAAGCAAACTAAAGCAGAGGTTCAACAAGAAAACCTGGAATGAAAAATTCGAATTATTAGACGACATAGATGAGTCAGTAAAAATGTTATTTTCTTTTAATTGTTGTTTGAAACAACTCAGAAATGACAATAGATAATATGTAGATTTGTTTAAAAAATGTATTAAAGCCAAACTGTATTGGGTGTAAATATATATTTTAATTGTAATGTATAAGTTTTAACAACATCACTGGCTGATGTAATTGTAAGCTAAAATTGTTTTCATCAGAAATAAAAAAAATGAATGAAATGAAACAGGACTGTAATTTTTATTTTAATTAGTTCAGTTCAGCAACAGAAACCTGCAGGCAACTTTTGTTATTGAGATTNAAACAAACAAACAAACAAACATACAAAACAGGCTTGCAATCTGCGACCCTCATTTGTTTATGGTGGTGGGAGAAAACAACAAAATCACTCGATTTTTTCACATAAGTTAAAGCTAATATTTCCATTTTAAAMATAAATAATAATGAATCTCAATTTTGATTGTGTTTGGTTTGGTGGCACTGTTAGGCTGATAGAGAGAGGGTAAACTCAGGTTTTACTTACAGAAAGCACACAGAGACAAAAAAAAAAAAAAAATGGAGGGTTCCAAGACAGAATAAAAGAAAATTGTCCCAGGATGTGTTTGGATCATTTGTGGCTGAATCGTTTCATGAATTGTTCCCCTGTTTCCAGTAGAATCTGTGAAGCATTCAGTGTGTCATGTGTTGGCATTAGATAGGCACCTAAATGTTCCAATAGTTCTTTATTAATTTTTATCTTATTTTATTTTATTTTTATTTTGTTGTAATGGAGAGATTAATAAACGTTTGTGAGTTTCAAAACCGAAATTATGAATAAGCTTTTTATTGAGTTGCTCTCTAAAACGAATGAACGATTTTTGAATTAAAAAATATTTTTAAAACGTGTCCCAATAGTTTAAATGGATAAATATAAAAAATAACGCACATAATTTCCTTTTTTTTCCCTGGTGTTTGGTTGGCAGAAGGTTGTCTCATCAAGAAGAGTTGTGAGGAAAAAAAAAATCACAGAATTTTTAAATGTTTCGGAACCTTTTAGGCTGTGCGTAAAACTTGGGGGGCGGAGGGATATCACGCAGCAGTGCGGCATGTATTCCTTTTGTGCGCCTCTTTGCTCGTTTGTAAAAAAGACTTATTTCCAGCAGGTTGCAAAGCCCCCCCCCCCCCCAATCTTTTGGAGGGGGTGGTGGGGTGGACAAGCCTCGGTGGTCGTGTGATTGAAAGTGAACAAGGATATACCCACGGTCTTTGGGGGGGTTTTCGTTGCTAATTTGTTACAGCATTTTTCATCAGCCTCCTAATCCGCCATAATGCAATGCTTTTGTGTGTGTGTATGTGTGTGTGTGTGTGTGTGTGTGTGTGTGTGTGTGTGTGTGTGTGTGTGAGCCCCCCACTGTACCTAATGTGTGAGTGGGAGTACTGTATTTAGCATAAAGCACTGCGTTTGTGTGTGTGTGTGTGTGTGTGTGTGTGTGTGTGTGTGTGTGTGTGTGTGTGTGTGTGTGTGTGTGT